CCCCCAAGCCTCCCCCCTGGCTACATGCCTGTGTGTTGGAGAGTTGTATTTTTCAGTCTACACGTTAGAATTCCCTAAATCCTGGCAAACTTTATCATATACAACCAACATGCTTTCTTTTTCTACATTGTGATAAATCCTGGTAATGAAAACCTATGTGAAGTGATCTAAGAGAACCTGTGTAAAAGAATATAATAATGGACTAGATCAACTCAGACACACTAATAGAATTTGCATGTAATCCCATTTCTGGAAACAAGTTTGAACTCAATAGGAATCAGTCTTTTTAGAAAAGCTCTCCTTGTAAACTGGTGAGTGGGTAGAATTTCCCGTAGGTTCACAGATCAGGCATGATTGCTAACAGAAGTTTTAAACTTACTATCAACCAAATGTAGAACTTCTAGCTGTCGTTCTGTGACTTTGTTTAAAATTGCCTGAATTGCCTGTCAACTTCTGTGGAATCCTCTCTATTTAATTTGCACTAATACATAAATAGATAGCTCTAAAATGAGAACTCATAGTATTCCTGAGGCCTGAAAAGGAAACAAGCTGGCTCTTGACTTCTTTCACTAGTGTACTACTATAATCTCCAGATATTGTGTGGCAGAGCTGATAATTCTGTTTACCTGTGTTCCATTTAATAATATTGGACTATTTTCAGATGTTAAAGTCTATGTGAGGGAAGATAATGACCACCAACCCTTCACAGTTAATTTCCAAGGCTATTCAGACCCAGCAGTCCCTGAGGTGGAGAAACTGCTAGCTAATCTGGTAGCTGGCTATGAGAGGGTCAGAGAGGCTATGAGAGGGTCAGATGCTGGTAGTTAGACTCTCCTGATAGATGGACTGAAGCATGGTTTACTGTGAAATAATTCTGCTGTATATTTGCTTGCTTCTGGGACACTTGCTATTCAGCTTGCAGCAGTTCAGGGAGGTCATGATTTGGAAACTATAAATCACTTCACAAGCCAGCATCCCACGACAAAGCAGGCTCTGGAACAGTTATTCTTAAACTGGGTCCCCAGTCCAAATTAGGTGCCCCTTAGCTCAATGTTGGGGTCCCCAAAATTTGGGTTAGTATCAAAGTGCAGGGGTTATAGTAGACCCTGCAGAAAATGTTTCAGCAGTACTCCACAAAAAGGAAACTGGGCCTGTTTAGCCAGCCTTGTGAATGATGATGATGATGATGATTATTATTATTATAACTTTATTTGTACCCCGCTAGCATCTCCCAAAGGATTCGATGCGGCTTACAGTAGGCCGAAGCCCAAACAATACAACAATACAACAATACAATACCTAGCAAACAAAAACAGTTAAGCAGAAAGCAAACAAATAGCAATATACATTATTAAGACATTATTAAAAACTGAGCCGGCCTGAGTGGGGTACAGAGTTAAAAGTGCTGATGTGTCGGAGGGATATGGGATTATAGTATATAGGTGCGGTGTGCAAAGTGCGGTGATCTTGGTTCTGCTAAAGTGCTTCTGGGATTTGGTGGTGGGGTTCCTAGTCTGAAAAGGCACATTGGAACAGCCAGGTTTTCAAATTCTTTCTGAAGACTGCCAATGTAGGGGCTTGTCTGAGGTCTTTCGGGAGGGTGTTCCAGAGGCGGGGGGCCACCACAGAGAAAGCCCTGTCTCGCGTCCCAACCAAGCGCGCTTGTGACGCGGGCGGGATCACGAGCAGGGTCTCTCCCAATGAACGAAGTGCACGTGTGGGTTCGTAGACAGCGATACGGTCACGCAGGTAGGGTGGTCCCAAACCGTTCAGGGCTTTGTAGGTAAGCACCTGCACCTTAAATTGGGTTCGGTAAACAAACGGCAGCCAGTGGAGCTCCTTAAGATCACTCTGACCAAAAGGTCATGAGTTCGAAGCCAACCCGGGTTGGAGTGGGTTTCCAACCAATTGTGTAGCCTGTTGTCGACCTTTGCAACCCAAAAGACAGTTGCATCTGTCAAGTAGGAAAATTAGGTACCACCTTAGTGGGGAGGCTAAATTAACTAATTTATGAGGCCATAAAGAAGACTCCAGCAAAGCATTCCAGCGGGGAAGCACGCGGGGAATGCGGAAGCACTTCATCAGCGTCACAGATGGACGATGTAAGCGACAGCTCTCCTGGCGGCCAGGAAAAGTTAAATAGCCTCTGTGTATGTCTGTATATGTTTGTATGTCAAAAATTGGCATTGAATGTTTGCCATATATGTGTACACTGTAATCCGCCCTGAGTCCCCTGTGGGATGAGAAGGGCGGAATATAAAAGCCGCAAATAAATAAATAAATATGCATTTTTATGACCTCATGTGGGACACTATGGTAACTTCCAGCAAAAGGCATTTTTCATTGTGCCGTTTAATTGAAAAAAATAATTGTAATTAGGTCAGTTTCATGAATCACAATCACACTTCTGTGCCCTGCACAATGGAAGTGCAGTGCTGTCAACAAGAAAATGACAACAGCGATGCAATATCTATTGCTGGGAGGAAAACCAAAAGGTGATTGGCAGGCAAGCAGATTGGCACAGCTCTACAAAAATAACTTCTCATAAGAAATGTATTTTTTCCCCAGCAGTGCCCGACCTCCCTCCTCATCTGGGCAAGTCAAAACTGGCACAAGGTAAGGCACCCAGATGTGCTCAAAGCCTCGATTCCCCTTTGTGCCCATAGGAAGACAAAGTGCCTTTGCTCCTCTCCTTACCACTAGGAGGTCATTGAAGAGGAAGACTTCCCTCTGGTGCAACCCAAGCCTTTGGGGCCGGTTAGGGTCGGGCACCTCATACAGCTGGCAGCAGCAAACCAGGCGCCGGTGGGGCAAGGAGAGGACCTGGGCGGGATAGAGCAGAAGAACATGTTTGGAGATGGAATGAAGAAGACGGGGAAGCTGGGGAGACCCCCAACTAAGCCACCATTACCTTCCTCCCAACGGTCTCTCCTGACTCACCGGCTTTTTACCCACAATCATGCGCTCCACTGCTTGAACCTGAGACACGTGATCATCGTTGGTACGAAGCTCCCGGCTCTGAATCCGTTGGTAAATCCCTACCAGTAGATCACGAGGAATATCTTCACCATTATCCACTCCTTGAGTGAAGAAATAAGAAAGGACGGGGAGTTAAAAGAAAGAGCCTGAGGCATATTTAGCCTGTTTTAGAAAGCAGCAATAAGAACACTCGATATGTAGTTAACAGTGTATTCACAGGTAAAATTTTAGCCTCCAGTTGATGCTAGATCAGGCATGGGCAAACATCAGCCTGCCAGATGTTTTAGACTTCAACTCCCACAATTCCTAACAGCCAGTAGTTTGTCCATTCCTGTGCTAGACCTTAACTCTTATCAGTCTTAGCCAATATAATCAATTGACGTTATTGTCTGACTTCATCTGAGGAGCCACAGATTCCTCATTTTCTGGTTGCAGGTTCCTCAAAATGCTTTCTGTATATGTTGTTACTAACTCTGGCAACGACCTGGAAAGTAGGTTAGTGTTTTTCTTCTCCATTTAAAGGCTGGGACCTGATGACATGAAAAACAGGTTTCGCTAATGCCTTCTAAAAGGAAGTAACTGTTGAAATTACAAAATACAAAGTGGGATTTTGGACTGTATGAAAATTCTTATTGATACTCTGAGTCAAACATGCTTTGATTTGTAGATGTATTACAGCATATTCATTTTCTATCTACTGCCCTGAGTTGCCTTCGGGCTGAAATGGGCGGGATAGAAATAATGTAAATAAATGTAAATAAATAATATCAGAAGTCTTTGATTTTTGCAGATGCTTATAAACGTTTAAATCACATTCCTGCAATATGAAATTTAATAATAATAATAATAATAATAATAATAATAATAACTTTATTTGTACCCCGCTACCATCTCCCTAAGGGACTCGGTGCGGCTTACATGAGGCCAAGCCCACAGTACATCAATAAACAAAGCAATAACAAAACAATTAAAGCAATACAATGAATATAAATCACATTACAAAAATAAACAATAAATCAACAGTAACACACAAGCATTTAAAACCAATGGCCGGGCCAAATGTAATAGATTAAAATTAAAAATAATGCTGGACATGAACAAGGTAGGATATAACTGGGATAGAATTTTCAAGGAGAGATCAAGGAACGCAGCCAGTCCTAAATCAATGGTAAAGTGCATTTTGAGGGCATATTGCTGAGTTTTCCTTATTCTGGGAAGGCACAGTGGAACAACCACGTTTTCAGGCTCCTCCTAAAGACTGCCAGAGTTGGGGCATGTCTGATGCCCTTGGGAAGTGAGTTCCAGAGTCGGGGGGCCACCACCGAGAAGGCCCTCTCTCTCGTTCCCACCAACCGTGCCTGCGAAGGTGGTGGGAGCACGAGCAGGGCCTCTCCAGGTGATCGAAGAGATCATGTGGGTTTGTACACAAAAATGCGGTCACGCAAATAGGCGGGTCCCAAACCGTTCAGGGCTTTGTAGGTAAGAACCTGCACTTTGAATTGGGACTGGAAAATGAACGGCAGCCAGTGGAGCTCCTTAAACAGGGGGTTGACCGCTCTTTGTAAGAAGCACCAGCTAGATAACTGATGATCAGGCATAGCTGGATCATCTCTGCTCTTTCTGCAGCAAAAAAGCTCCTACTTTAAGCTTATAAACTTATTTGCCACCTGTTGTCTGGCAGGCAGGGGATCTTACTGCTTTATCAAAGATACAAGATGGATGGATGGCATCCTTGAAGTGACTGGATTGACCTTGAAGGAGCTGGGGGTGGTGACGGCCGACAGGGAGCTCTGGCGTGGGCTGGTCCATGAGGTCACGAAGAGTCAGAGACGACTGAACGAATGAACAACAACAACATCTTATAAACACCAGTTTCCTATCAGATTGAAATTTTGTGGACAATAACCAGTGAAATGTAGTAGTTTGAGTGTTGGACTAAGACTCTTCAACCATAAAAGAGTTCTTCAGCCATAGAATCCTGTTAGATGGCCTTGGATGAAACATATACTCTCACTGTATTGTCGAAGGCTTTCATGGTTGTCAATCACTGGGTTGTTGTAGGTTTTTCGGGCTGTATGGCCGTGTTCTAGAAGAATTATCTCCTGACATCTCGCCTGCATCTATGAGGCGACTTCACAACCTCACAACCTCTGAGGATGCCTGCCATAGATGCAGGCGAAACATCAGGAGAGAATGCTTCTAGAACATGGCCATACAGCCCGAAAAACCTACAACAACCCATATACTCTCAGCTCCAGAAAACCCCACGATAGGGTCACCTTAAGGTAAGATAGAACCAACTTGGACCTACACAACAATTCCCAGTTTATTTATATATTCCTAACACATGAATTATATGACATGTACAGGATTTCATTTTTTTCCCTTTTTGTTTTTCTCTCTCTTCTTCCTCTTGCTCATTTTTCTACTGGCAAAAACAACATTAATCTGACAATGAAAAAACCTTTTATTTAGAAATGATGGTGCCATGCACTGTATGCTGCCCAGAAAGGCACTGTACCTGCCCAGAAGGTACAGCATACTTTGTTGGCACATCAGAGGTTATGGGAAATTCAGATTTCTTAGTACAGGCTGTTCTTCATCCTGATGTATTGTACCTCTCACAGCGACATCAAGGCAGAGCCAACTGAGAGTTGGAATCAATCTGTATTTTTCCTTCCAACTTTGTATCCTTTATTTAGTAGGTATCATTCCAGTTCTGCTATTCCCAATGGCAGACTAGAGGACTGATGTCTCAACACAAGTGCTGCAAATCTTATTCAGCCATTTTTAGTGAACATTAATTTATCAAGGGGAAGGGATGCAATTTTATTGCGGCATAGTAATAATATCTATAACACCATTGTACTGCATAATGCAAAATGCACAGAAGCAATATACAATGTGCAATTAGGTGCATTATTGTTGTCTGCAACAATTTCATAGGCAGAACACCACATTGGTTGGATATATTTGTTTTTGTACATTGTCTGTGTGTTTCATTAGCAGAATTCTTGCCATTATCTTTATATTTGAATTACTGAATTAATGAACTGTAAAAGATAGAATCAATATTATCAGACCAAGCAAAGGTAAGTTGGGAAATTCTGTGGGCAGTTTCCAGAAGGTGCACATAATAATAATAATAATAATAATAATAATAATAATAATAATCTTTATTTATACTTCTCAGGTTCACCTTGATGGCTTAATCAATTTTCATGAATATGGAGCTGGGATTTGGGCTTCAACTGTTTTCAAGCAACCCTTTGCTTTTTTTGTCTTAAGTCAATATATTGATTTATTGGATTTGGGGTTTATTATATCCATTTACATATGGCTGACTGTCATGCTTTGGGTGGTTGTGGCATAACGTCAGATTCTAGCTTGGAGAATAATGGGTCTGTGTGCCTGTCATCTTCACTACATGGTTCCTTTTAAAATGATCTTGAATGAGGGAATTAGGGACAAGCCCAACTTTGGACTTACTTACTTACTTACTTCATTTCTACCCCACTTTTCTTACTCTGCCGGGGACTCAAGGTGGCTTACAAACTGGCAAAATTTAATGCCGCATGGACATAGCAATAGAACACACCTCATCAAATTATAATAACAGTTAAAACATATGAGCAATTAAAACACATAAACAATAGAACAGATTAAAACCATATAAACTGTTGAGTCTTGATCTCATATTTATCCATAGTCATTTTCCAAAGTCCATAATCATTATGCAGGCTTTTGAAGTCTAATTCCGTAATATCCTATACACCAAATGCCTGAGCACATAACCAAGTTTCACCCTTTTACTAAAAACCAGGAGGTAGGAGGCCAGTCTGATCTCATTGGGGAGGGAGTTCCACAACTGAGGGGCCACCATTGAGAAGGCCGTGTCTCTTATCCCCACCAAGATCGCTTGTGAAGAGGTCGGGATCAAGAGCAGCACCTCCCCAGCTGATCTTAAAGCTCTTGTTGGCTTTGGACAGGTAAGTTGGACCAAAACCGTTTAGGGCTTTACAGGCCAAAGCCAGCACTCTGAATTGTTCCCATTCAAATTCAGCACAATTGAATTAGATGGTCATCTGTTGGGAGTGTTTTGATTGTGTCATCCTATGTGGCCAAGAGTTGGACTGGATGGCCCTGATTCTATACTCCCAACTCAATTCTATAGGATGAGACTTGCAGCTCTGACTCAAATTACCTTATTTTCTATTATTTAGATGCTTTCCTGTAGTATATCTTCTCTTACGTGGTGCTTTGTTTAAGCTGTGTGTTCCTATTAAATTTCCAATTTTTGGGATGGTGGGGAAAGGGAAACAAGTGGTAGATCAGAAGCGGATAGTCCTACATTTCATCCAGAAATGTAGAAATGTGAGCTAATCCCTAACTGCCCATCTCCACTTGTGTGTTGCATATTTTTTTAAAGCAAGGTGGGATCCTGGCAGCATGAAGACTTGCCTTCTCATGAAAACAGAAAACTGAAAAGTGTATGCACTACATTTAAGCTTCTGAGCTCCTACAAAAGTGAAGTAAATCCTCCGTATACTGACAGGTATCACAGTTGTGTTCAACTTCAAGTCATTTCTGACTTATGATGGCCTGAATGTAAACCTATCACAGGCTAGGGATGGGTTTTTTGCCTAGGGTCACCCAGTGGGTTTTCATGACCGAGTCGGGATTTGTACACTGGTTTCCACAGCCAGAGTACAACGTTTATGCACCAAGCTTTTTCTGAGCTCCCACCAAACTAAAGTGCATCTTCTACATCCTAATGGTGTGTGTATTTGTGTGTGTGTGTGTGTGAGGGGGAGTGCAATGAAAAGAGACAGCAACAGCCAAGTTCCTTTAAGCACCAAGGGCTTTAGAAAAGCGAAGATTCTTGCTCACCTCGCAAATTCTTGATGAAGTCATCTAATTTCATCTTTCTCTCTGCCTTGACACTGGGGCTGTACATGTCGGTGTTCAAAAGGATGATGGCAAAAGCCAGGATGAAGATGGTGTCTGGATTCCGGAACTGGCGCACCAGGGGGGCATTGCATACACAGTAGCGCTGGCTGGAATAAATGAGGTAGATGTTAAGTCAAAGAGAAAGCGACCGTCACAAGAGATGGGTAGGACAAGGCTGAGATATGTTGCTGCCCAAAAGAAAAACTGTTCAAGATTCTTTATCTCCCAAGGGTTCTTTACTTGTACTTTTCAATAGGAGCTATATCCCATCAAATCATCTATGTATATTAACTAACAACACCCAATGACTACAATCACTATAACCAAAACCACAAGGGGACAGTCCTGAGGTAGATGATGCTCATGCACACAGGCACATGCACTGCATAATGTCTAGCACTTTAAAAACTGTAGAGAGGAGAACTTGAAAAGCAGGCAATCTACATTGGCATATCTATATAAATAAAAATGTAATGTTTGTGGGATTAACAGAACTCAAAAATTACTGGACGAATTGACACCAAATTTGGCAGCAAAACACATTCTAATTTGATCTATGTCTTTCAAACACAAAACCTTAAAAAATGAAGGGGAAATAAGTTAAAATGCCCCCAAAAGAAAAAATGCCTTACAGAGCATGCGCAAAAGCCCCTCTCCCCATTGCACGAGAAGCATGAAGCACCAACTGTTGTGAGGGAAGAGAAGCCTCGCCATGGAGTCCCTTTCCATGCAGGAAGGCAGAGTCCCTTTTCTTTTGGGGAGGAGAGGGATTGAGGAAAGGAAAGAGGGAAGGAAGGAGAAGGCCTGGCCCAACAGAGGGGTGGGGGCTTGGCGAGGCAAGCCCTGGCAGCAGCTGGAGCCACCGCAGTGGCTCCATGAGGCCCACGTGGCTACCAGGCAATACTTCTCCCAAGACCAGAGGATTGCAAGGCAAGCCTAACTGCAGGAGCAGCTGTACACACTCTCCCCGCCCCTGGTTGGGTGAAGGGAGGATGAGAACCATGAGAAGGCCAGCAACTCTCCCACTTAGGCTCCACACACCCCCTTTCACCCCCCCCCCCAAAAAACCCTTTAAAAACCCTTACAAACTGTTCTGGAGGAAGGAGGGGAAAGAAAGGAAAGGAGAGACGAAAGGAAGAAAAGGATTGGTGAAGATAAGAGGAGATTAAGAATGGAAGGAAAGGTAGAAGGAAAGAAAGAGGAAGGAAGGAAAAGGAGGCAGGGATGGGAGAGGAAAGGAAGGGAAGGAACAAAGAAAGAAAGGGGGAAACTGGTGAAGGGAAGAGAAGAATAAAGAATCAGAGAGCCCTAGAGTTGGGAGACACCTGGTGGGCCATCCAGGCCGACCCCATTCTGTGAAGAAGCATGAAAATCACACTCAAAGCACCCCCAACAGATGGCCACCCAGCCTCTGTTTCAAARAGGCTTTTTTGAGTGTTTTGGCCAGCATGAAYATAACTGAAAAGCCTTGCAGCTTCAGTGGCTGCTTCTCATTACTTTATTTTCCATACCACTTTGCACGTTAACAGCCTGGCTTCTACTAAACAGCAGGAAACCTTTGGTGGGAGGAGTTCCCTAGCCCAGATTGCTTCATGTCTGCAAATCCTCTGTTTTCTGAGGGCYATAGCAACGCGTGGTTGGGTACAGCTAGTGTCTTGCCATAAAAAAGGTCTTTGTAATGACACAGGAAAGKGAAACTAACCCTGAAATGACATTAGGTAAAGGTAAAGGTTTTTCCCTGACATTTAGTCCAGTTGTGTCTGACTCTGGGGGGTTGGTGCTCATCCCTATTCCTAAGCCGAAGAGCCGCGTTGTCCGTAGACACCTCCAAGGTCATGTGGCCAGCATGACTGCATGGAGTGCCGTTACCTTTCTGGAGTGGTACCTATTGATGTACTCACATTTGCAAGTTTTCAAACTGCTAGAAGCTGGGGCTAACAGTGGAAGCTCATACCACTCCCCGGATTTGAATCTGTGACCTTTCGGTCATCAAGTTTAGCAGCTCAGCGGTTTAACCCACTGTGCCACCAAGGTGATACAGATAACCAAAAAAAAAAAGGGGGCAAGAGTTGGGCTTAGAAGAATCCAAAGTACAAGCAATTTATCAAACCATTTATTTTCTAAGTTAAAAAAAGTTTTGCTATAAAGATATAAAAATTCATCGTGAGTCAGAGAGTTCTAAATTGCAAGGCTCCGCTGCCCTTGAGTTAATTCAGTCTTTTGTTTATAAATATTTATGAAAACGCCGCATCCCATCCCAGAAAGTTCCAAATCCCATTTTGGGATGCAGAACATTCATCAACTTCAATTTACGAACACCCCTATAACTTAGAATGAGCTTTCAAGTCACGTAAAGAGTCAAGTAATCGGTTTGTAGGCAGATTCATTATCCAAACCTTATGTTGATCAATTCACAGAATTCATATTTTATGAAGGGAAGCCGAAATTCAAGGACAGGCTTGCCTAAGTTTCTGAAGTGGTTTCAGTTGTGATGCCTTAATAACAAGGACAAGGAAAGAACTTTAACAATGACCAATTGGTTAATTAAATGGAAAGTTCTCTTATGCTCCTTTCAACATCTCACAAAGGTATGTTTTTGATGGTAGCGTATTTTGATCATATGCATCGAAACATAATTTGCATTGAAAAATCTACAAAAATCCCCTTGACAGCCCTAATCAATATGCACAGTCAACAGAGTTGTTTAAGCAGCAAGATCTAGGTCTATATGCTGAGGCTTTGCAAAGGTTTAAGTTTCAAATCTGTCAAGAGAAGGGCACCTTGAAGTAGACAGAGAGACACAGAGGCCTGAAGCATACATGAGAACATTGATACAGATCTCAACTTCAATCAAAGCTTCCTAACAGATTTACATATTGTATGCATCTCCCTCTCTACATCTGTCAGGGAAGAGGGCCTTGTGCACTATGGATTTCTCTTGCATTTCCCTACCAACATAGGCATCATCTTGAGAGACAGAAAAAGGGAGATGTCTTTGAAAAGGCTTTTGTGCACCAAGGCCAAGGACTGGGCAAGATGGTTGCCCTGGGCAAGCTGTTGGGCGCCCAGTTTTAAATCCAAAGAAAAACTAAACACAATCTACAACCGGAAAAAAGATCATTGTTTGCGCACTGTATTTTCTCAATTTACATGAATCTCTATTTCCCTCATCAGGTCACATACAGCTTGCGCATTGTGGTGAGCTTGCCTCAATGTGAGCTGCCTTTTACAATGCACTGCTTATTTCCTCTATCAGCGGCTATACAGCAGTGGACACTTCTCTTTTTTTCTTCCACCATGCACACACACACTTATACACACACACACACACACACATACACACTAGCCATCCCCTGCCACACGTTGCTGTGGCCCACATGGGGGTTCTGTGTGGGATGTTTGGCCCAATTCTATCGTTGGTGGGATTCAGAATGCTCTGTGATTGTAGGTGAACTATAAATCCCAGCAACTATAACTCCCAAATGTCAAGATTCTATTTCCCCCAAACTCCACGAGTGTTCACATTTGGGCATATTGAGTATTCGTGAAGAGTTTGGTCCAGATCCATCATTGTTTGAGTCCTCAGTGATCTCTGGATGTAGGTGAACTACAACTCCAAAACCAAAGGACAGTGCCCACCAAACCCTTCCAGTATTTTCTGTTGGTCATGGGAGAACTGTGTGCCAAGTTTGGTTCAATTCCATCGTTGGTGGAGTTCAGAATGCTCTTTGATTGTAGGTGAACTATAAATCCCAGCAACTACAACTCCCAAATGACAAACTCATAATTTTTTGAGTGATGGTCACTCCTTGTGTTGTGAGATGTTTTGTTGCCAAATTTGGTGTGATTTCGTTCATTGGTTCTTTTGTTTTTAAGGTACTCATTATGCGCAGAGCATTTATACATATATAGATTTCCACCTAAGTTATAATTAGCCATCCTGTTATGCATTGGAAGCCAATTAGCTTCCGAGCACAATTCAAAGTGCTGGTTTTAACCTATAAATCCCTATACGGTTCCGGCCCAGTTTACCTGTCCGAACGTATTCTCCCCAATGAACCATCAAGGACATTAAGATCTTCCAGAGAGGCCCTACTCTCGGTCCCACCACCTTCACAAGCGCATTTGGTGGGAACGAGAGACAGGGGCTTCTCTGTGGTGGCCCCTTGGCTATGGAACTCTCTCCCGAGCAAGATTAGATCTGCCCCCTCCCTCTTGTCCTTCAGGAGGCTAGCGAAATCCTGGTTATGGAACGAAGCATTCCCAGAATAATGGCTGAGACTGGTTACAGACCAAAGTGAGTGACCACATATGCGGACAGAGTTGAACATGATTTTACCTTTGCAATTTGGTATATATGTATTTTATCTATATGTATTTTAACCTTGTATTGTTGTATGATGTTTTAACTTGCATTAGTAGCATTGAATCTTTGCTGTAAGCTGGTCTGAGTCCTTCAACGAAGGTGAGAAGATCGGGATATAAAAGTTTTAAATAGATAAATAAATAAATAATGCATGCTAATACTGATAGACTACTGTGCAGGCAGCCCTCCACATTCATAGAATCATAGAAACATAGAGTTGGAAGAGACCTCATGGGCCATCCAGTCCAACCCGCTGCCAAGAAGCAGGAATATTGCATTCAAAGCACCCCCGACAGATGGCCATCCAGCCTCTGTTTAAAAGCTTCCAAAGAAGGAGCCTCCACCACACTCCGGGGCAGAGAGTTCCACTGCTGAACGGCTCTCACAGTCAGGAAATTCTTCCTAATGTTCAGATGGAATCTCCTTTCTTGTAGTTTGAAGCCATTGTTCCATTGCGTCCTAGTCTCATAAGTCCAATTGCAAAGATCATGTTTCAGGATAGCAGTTGCTATGAAGTCAATATGATTTTTTTTAGTCTGTGTAGTCAGACCTCAGAATGTTAACCTCTGTTGGCAGTGCCAAATCATTTTAAAAATCCGCGATTTAAAAGGTTATGCGTTTCTTTATTATGTTTGTTAGGAAACTGTGCATGTTTATTTTGTGGGTAGATCCTGTCTAAATTAATCCTTTTCTCAGAACACAAGACATAAAATAGAAACTCCTAATTAGGTTCCCTTGTCA